AGACTTCATTTTCTTTTAAATTATACTGAATGGTAGGAGAGAAGATAGGGTTGCAGTCAATTATGTCCCTGAAACTACAAAATTCAACAACTACACTGCCTGTCTTCCCCTGTGCTCAGTATCACTGATCTTGCTTCTGCAACTTCTCTGGCACTTCTAGTAGTCCTGGGACTCTCCACAACATCTAAAGATCCCAACAGTGCCAGTACCTTCCTGTGTGAAACAAGTGCCTCCATTCTTGCATCTCAATTCAGAATACAGCTCCTCTGCCTCTTTGTCCAAATGTAGCATTAGCTCCTCTGTGCCTTGCTGGCCTCCAGACCCAGCACTCATTCATTAGTTCCATTGGTACTTTGTATCAACTCAGTAACACTTAAATGGGCATATTTTCCTGCATACCATGTCTTTCAAATCTGAATCCACTTTTGTCTTTATTCTCCACCCTTGTGAATACACAGACACACACACACACACACACACACACACACACACACACACACACACACACACACACGGTAGAGACTGTGTGCATATCATAGTTCTTGCATGGACACCCAAGGTGTACATGTCATTAGCTCTAGTGGTCAATTTTTAGTGCTTGTACTGCATCTCTCTTGTACTGCATCTTCCATGTTCTCATCAGGTCTCTTTGAATCCACATCTGCCCTACTGCTTCACTGCAATTTTCCATGCGAACTTCACTAATAGCTTTCTTGTTGATCCAGCCAATGGTCACTGTTACCCTTTGTCCTGCTGACACATGGATAAAGCTATCAATAGGTTAGAAATACCCTCTACCACCATTTCCTGGTGACCATCATTCTCCATCACAGACGTGTCTCTCCTCTGTTGTAAGATAGGTTCACTATAAGGAGTAAGGTTTTCTGCCTGCCGCTGGTCTTATCCTGCCGCCACACCAGCCCCAATTAACACACCAAGACTCTGTATTTGATATAAAGCTGTTGGCCAGGTACTAGTTTATCGGCTAGCTCTGTCTTAAGTATTAACCCATTTCTATTAATCTAAGTACTTCCACATGGTCTTATCTTACCTGAGAGAGAGGCCACCGGTGTTCTGCTCTCTCCCTCTTCCATTTTGACTCCTCCTTTCTACTTCCTCTTTCCTCCTTGTCTCCTAGTTCCTCCTCTCTTGCTTTCTTATTGACCAACAGTGCTTTACTCATTAACCAGTATGAGAAACATATTTACAAAATGACATCTCCCATCAGTCTACCTAGAGTATTTGTTCAGTCATTCAAATGCTCCAAAATATAGAGTCAAATACATGCCATTTCCACTTTCTGGGGACATGGCCTTGCTTGCAGTCATGGATCTGGAGTTTTATTTCTTGAACAGACACATCCTGAGAATTAGCAAAAGTACTTGTTCTACTACTTACCAGTTGTTTCCTAATGCTATTAATGATAATGGCAGATAAGTTCTGTTGCATACTGACCATATGTGAGACCGTCCCCAGTGTTTCGTGAGGCTATGAGAAGTTGGTAGTCTTCTAAATTTAATTTTTACATATATATGGATCAGAGATACTAAACTAATTTATTTGTGAATATTTATTTAGCATCTATTTTGGGATCTAGAATTCAACCCCTGCCTTCCCTATCTGCAGAAGAGCACAGAAGATTGAGCTCTGCCTGTTGCTGCCTCTACTTCCACTGTCAGTATGTGTTCTGAACTCAACTGTCTTTGGCTTGTCCCTTCAACAACCTCAGAACCTAGTACAGTCATATATATTGCACTGTCTCTAGCTCAACCCTCACAACTGTCTCCATCTCCAGCAGCTTGGTCTTATGAAATCCTAGGTGACTAGCAAGCTAAGGGCCTTTCATGATCTGTATGAACTAGTGGTTTTTTCTGTTAGCTTAAGAGGGAAAGCATGCTATGTGTGCTAAAGTTATATCCAAGCTAGGACAGGGACATCCAGGCTTTATGATTAGCACCTCTGATTTCATCTTTAAACCACACACAACTGTTTGATGTTTGTTATTAAATTTGATAATTCACAACTGACAAGAGGTGCTTGCTGCTATTATGATCAATAGCTAGTTTGGTTCACTTATGAAAACACAGCTGCTATGTTAACATTTTGTTTAGATGCAACTGGAATAATAAGTTGCATTACAAATAACCAGGGAGAGAAAAATGCACCTCCACACACATGCATGCACACGTACACACGAACACACACATGTACACACACATCTAAACAATAAATGTAAATTTATATTTTTAATGGAGCAGCAGTAACTAAAAGCTCTTCTTCTGTCTCTCATGTCCTTATTTCTGTGTTGTCACCTGGGTCATCTGGGAAGAGCCTTCTCCCCTTTGTCTACTCCTACACTCAGTCTAATGAGCTATTCATCTTACCTATTAGAAATCCCTGAAGTTGCTCATTCATGTGGTTCTTTCAGCTTTTTCTACCTGAAATTCTTCTTGAAGTTCAGTTCTGATATGCTGTGTCCCCACTGGATACCCTTATGAAATGTCCCTATTGCCCACAGGATATCATGCAGTCTTTTGGCAAGAGTCAGTGTTAGCATTAGGTTAGCCAACCTCCCAATCCACCTTAATTTCCCACAGTTACTCTTCACACAAATGCTTCTGGCAAACTCCTCCTGTTTCTTTGTCAATCATCACACATTTCTATTTTGAATTCCCTGGGATTGCCCATGTCTGCACCTTGTGAGCTTGGAAGCACCTCTTCTTGTTGTGATAGGCACAAGCCTATGAAAAAGAGTCTTCCTTAGAGTACTAGAGTTCTGCTGACACTTGGTCTTATATTTCAAATACCCAATTTCCTTCTCCTAGCCTATGCTTTATATATAAGGTCAGGGTGGTAAATGAGTTTTTTTTTCTGTGTGTTCTGTTATCACGCATGCTAGGACCTGGTAAAGATGTCTACATTCATGACAAACATTTGTAGGTTGAGGAAACAATAATAACACTGAGTAGTCTGCACAAGTCCTTGTAGGTTTGCTACAGATGTACTTACTAGAAAGTTGGCAAAATGGTTAAACTTAACCTGTAAAACGGAATCTGGGATTCTCCTATGGGTGACCTAAAGACTTACCTATTTTGGATACCCAGAATTCAGTCTCTCTTTCAGTAATGCCTAATGGTCATTGGAGAGTATTCTAGGCCCAGGGGAACACAGACAAAATCTCCTTAGGACAGACAATACCAGATACATCAATTGAAAAGGTCAAGGAAAATGAAACGCACAGGGCCACTTGTTTCGACAGTCCTAAAATATTGAAGAGGGTGACAGCAGTGTTTGTATTAGGGAGAAGTCCTCTGACATTACATGTTGACAAAGGTGGTTCTTCCAATGAGCTATGAAGCAGGAGGGGCCTAAACATGCTCTTTTGTTATCTCTCTTGTGCTGCATCAGAGTCTGAAGCAGTGGTTTTCAACCCTCCTAATGCTCTGACCCTTTAATACCATTCCCCATGTTGTTGTGACCCCAACCATAAAATTATGTTCCTTGTTAATTCATAACTATAATTTTGCTACTGTTGTGATTCATAATGTAAATATCTGTGTTTGCTGATAGTCTTAGGTGATCCCTGTAAAAGAGATATCCAGCCTCAGATGGGTCATGACCCACAGGTTGAGAACCATTTGTCTGAAGAGAGGCCCCTTAATGGTGGGCTCGGGGGTACTAGGGCACATAAAGCTTTATGCAGACCAGTAAGAATTTTTTGTCCATTGACTTCTGTGTACTCAATGTCTTCTAACACTGAGGGATGCATTTAAGAAGCTGAGAGATATACGGTATACGGTGTGTGTGTGTGTGTGTGTGTGTGTGTGTGTGTGTGTGTGTATGAGAGAAAGAGAGAGAGAGAGAGAGAGAGAGAGAGAGAGAGAGAGCTAGCTTCGGTGATGACAACCCAGTATAAACAAATTCAGAAAGAAATGCCCGTAAAAATAAACAGGTAGTGAGCAGAACATGACAAAGCAGAGTAATGTAATAGGGAGGATGGTGCAGAGGGTTTATTAAATTAGTGTGCTCCAGCAAAACCTTTCCACAGAGCCTGCAGGCCCACAGTGCTTTCTAAAGCAACAGGTAAAGGGGATGCTGCTAGTGTCCCACAAAAGCTTGTCATGAAAATGTCTGAAGTTAATTCAGAGGACCTATGCAAAAAGAAATACTCCAAGCATGCTGGAGACTTTTGGTGTGCCACCCCACCTTTATGCCTTGTCATTTCTTCTTTTGATATTCTACTGGCTCAGAGACGTAAGGGGGGAAAAAAACTGCCGGCCTTATTGTAGAGAGGCAGTTTCCAAAGCCTCTTCTGATACTCAGGCCCCAAGACTGAACTAAAAACAGCATTGAGTTGGTATCCCTATGGGACTCAGTCTTCCAGTGAATGCCTTTGCCTGATCCTTTGCTGATGGCTATTCCCCTGCCTCCTGGGTACCCATGGATTTGACCTATAGAGTAATTTAGATCAGAGGTTACTATGGAGAACCGCTAAGCATCTCTTTTTCCCTGCACCAAGGTTGGTACTGAATTGTCTAGCTTCCTTCTGAAGCCAGCAGATATGTTCCGAAGAGGTGGAGGGTGTGGAGCTAGACCAGGAAAAATCAAGGAGGCTAGGTGAAGGTGTGGAAGAACGATGGGGCTCAACAGGTAGTAACACAGAACACAAGGACCTCAGAGCTTGTCATGGGTCTGGAAGGGGTCTCAGCAAAGTGTTCCCTGCCTATCTGCCCGCCCACACGCGCCTACTCTGGCCCAGCCAGTGGAGGCTCCCCAAGCCATAACCGCTGGCGCATTTTCCCCAAGCCCTGGGCCTCACGCTGCAGGCTCGCCTCCTCCTCACTCCTCCCGCCCCCCGCCCTGGCTGTCTGGCAGCGCCGCAGTGCTGGCGGCTGGGGGCCTTGGCGACAAGGCTCCCTCCTCTCCACACCCCGCCTTCCCGCCCCAGCCTCGCTCCCCGCTGCCGCTGCCGCAGTGATCACGTCGTCGGAGATTTCCATCGGGGCTCAGGGGGCGGGCCCACAGTGCTGAGCGCGGGCTGGGGCGGGGCGAGTGGGAGGAGTGAAAGTTGAAGCCCAGCAAAACCCTCCACCTCTCCCTGAGCGGCCAGACCTGCGCTGCGACCTCAACACAGGTGGTCGTGCCAGGACCCGCTGAGATGTTGCCCAAAGTTCTCCTGATGCTCCTCAACATATTCCTGGCCCTCCAGTGGAGGTGAGTCTCCATCCCAGCACCCCGAGAGCCCTCTGTGCCCAGCAGGCTTCCGGGACCCCCGGGGTTCCTTGATCCCAGCTCCTGCTTTGCCAAGGGGTGTCCTGATGGCCAGGCTACCCTGGACCCTTGTCCCCTCGACGCGCGCTACCCTCCAGTGTGCCCCCTTGTAGGAGGGCGTCACGGGCTGACGACGGGGAGCACAGGGAAAGCAGGTGGGACCATCTTCTGTTGGCGTCGTGGACTCGGTTTGGCCCTCAAAGCCCTGGAACGGGCGGCCAGGCAGCAAGAACACCTGGTTCCCTCTCGGAGTCTGAGGCAGGAGAGGGCAAACTGCTAGAGCTAGCACATACAATTCAGGGTTGTGCTAGGGACTTTGGGAAGGTGGCTCCTCAGCTGGGGGACCTGAAGTGCCTCGAAATGTTTGCCTGTTTCCTAGTCTGTTCACTCTTGCTCACATTTTTCCCCTGGAGCGCCTGCTTAGTACCAGGCACGATGCCAGGCAACTCTGACTTTACTTGTTTCTCCATCCCGTCGCGTTTTCCTTCCAGTCCCAGTCAGGATCCTGAACCTTGGTTATCTCAGGGTTCCCACCCCATTTGCCTTCCTTTTCCCTTCTCACCCCAAGGCAAGGCACCTTGCTTGGTCTTAGGGGCAGACCTGAGCCAGAGAGCAGAATGCTTTTCTTTCCTGAGCTCAGGTCTGTGGTTTGTGGCCTGGATTTCTAGCCCTCTCCCTTTTTCTGTTTTCCATTGAGCAGCCATCCTCCCTACCACAATCCCCTGACCCTGGGCATTGGTGAGAAGGGTGTCCCTGAGATTTCTAGCGTTTTATGATGGAACATGACTGCTTCGTGTGTTTTTTTTAATTCTTTCTTCCTTTCTTTCTGAGACTGTTGTTTTGTGGGTTGTGAACTGTCAGAAGTTCTTAAGTGTCCTGATTTGTCGAGGTTTCTAGAAGTCTCCATGGCATTGGGCTTCTGTCTTTTCATTTGTTTGTTTAGAGGAGGGGCAATGTCTCTTCTCTCCCACCTCAGGGAGGCATATGTGGCTCTCTACTGGCTCCCTGGTGCCCTAAGGTGAAGCTGGCCTCAGCAGGGGCTTGGTAAATGTTTCTAAATGCGTACTAGCAATTTCTTGTTATCCATATCTCTTTAGATGGGATTTTTTTTCTGGGACAAAAGATGGCTGAGGATGAGGGAGGGGGCTGAAGAAGATGGGAGGGAGATGAGAGGGAAAAACAGCCCTTCCAGTGGGGGTGGGGGAACAGACACTGACGTGTGCATACACTGTCAGCATGGCAACCTGTGATGTCAAGAAAGGGGAGGTGGCAGTGGGGTGTATTGGGCCAAACTTGGATTTGGTCTAGGCTCAGCTTCAAATCAGGTGTGTGATTTTGAGCATAGCCCTCTCCCCATATGGCTTATACATCAATAAATTTAAAAGACCAGCATATTTGAGAAAGAAATCCAGGGCCTTCCTCAATGCTCCTTAGCTCCCCTCTTCAGCCAGATTTAGAAAGTGGTAGTGCAGAGCTTCAGTCTCATCCAGTATTATTACATCTAGAGGGCTATGGATGTCTGAAAGGTTTCTTTGGAAAATCCCACTAGGCCAATGTGGTTTTGTAGGCTTTATTCTTTCTAGCCTTGAAAAAAAGAGTTTGGTGGCTTTTTGGAGATGGATATGTATACACAGGAGATTCTTAACCCCACAGATCTCAAGTGTGGCTATTTGTTTGTTTACAGTGGTAAAATCAAATTGAAGGATCAAAGCAACCTCCACCCCCCAAACACACTTTCCTTGCAGGCCTAGTAGAGAGACACTGCTTGACAGGGTTGGCCCTTATCTCTTCAGAGACTTTTAGGATTAGCATCCAGATACCTAGGAGACTTGAAAAGCCTTAGGAATAAGACATCATCTAGATATGACATTTGAAAATGGAAATGCTTTTCCCATACCCAGTCTTTTCTTACCCTACTATGGGAATTAGCCATCTCAGAAATGAGAAACGGTACCAGCTTAGCACATCTGTATGCCAATTAAACTATTCTAAAAGCTCTGAAGACTGCAGGAAAAAATATGCACTTTGATTCCCAATTGCCAGTCTCCTCGTCTGCAGCACAGGGACCTGCTCACCCTAGTCTCTTGTTCTAATTTTAGGGGTGAAATTTGCCTGGTGGCTTTAAAATACCATTTTGGAAGTTTAATACACAAATATGAAAACACAGCAATCATAAGTGAATTTTCATAAAGTAAGCATGATCAGGTAACCAACGCCTAGATGACAAGGAAACAATTGCCCATCAAATCCCCAAGCCTCACCAAATGTACAATCTTCCTAAAGGAAAATGCTCTCTTGCCTTTCAACATCAAATGTTAATTAGTGCTTATATCTTTTTCAAATGCTTTTAATTATATATATTTCAAGGATATATAGTAAAGAGAATTTCCATATACCCACCATTAGCCTTAACATTAATGAAAACATTAATGGACACTTATTTTCTCTGCCCCCTACCTGCATACCACCCATTTTAACTTAGCCTCAAGCCATTTTTTCAGGAATAGATCTCAGGCATCATATCATTTTGTATGTTAATACTGAGGTCATTAAGGGCTTCCCCACTAAAAATATCATTATTACACCAAATATTTAACAATGATTTGTTCATGCTTCAGTTATTCAGTCAGTATTAAATCTCTACTATATGGTTTTTGCAGTTTTGGTTTTAAAGTATCAGAACTCAAGTGTGTTATATATGTTAGCAAGTGGAATTTTCTTTTGAGACAGGGTTGGACTTTTTATTGTTAAAATGCCTTTTTACTGAATTAGAACTCATATACAGAATGTAGTTCAAATAATAAGCATACAGTGGGGCCCTTTCATCACTACAGTCTGACCTCTGACACTGTGGGGGGCTTCCATAATTAGAAGATGGATTTCTAAAGTGTTGTTATTATTGTAGTTATTATCATTATTATTTTTATTGCCATTATTGGCCCTGGTATCCAAGATGGTCTCCTATTGGTCATCCATTTCTTGGGTGCAGCCACAAATTGCTGCTCTATAGCTTGCCTTCCTCCACCTCAGAACCCCCATATGGGTATTATGAAACCATCCCAGAAATTTTCAGTGCTATCTGCTTGCAAGCATTCCTTAGCAGCCCTAGCCTTTGGCCTGCTCTGTCCTGTCATTGGCTGAGGCTCAGGCAGATGTGAGGCCAGTGTTAGTAACTGCAGCACAGCCGCTGATTGACCAGGGTTACGGAAAGGATGACCACCTATTTGATTTCATATGAGATGGTCTTTGCAAATTTAGTCTAATATTTGTTGTTGACTAGTTTAAAGTAAAGAGTTAAGAAAGAAGAAACTCAATACACAATCTCCAAGGAGCAATAAAATTTAAAAGGAATTATCAAGTTTAATTTGTTAGTGCCTCCTCAGTTACTATCACTACTCACTAATTAAGCTTTGTGTTGTAAATATTTTGGTTTCCTCCTGTCCCAAAAGGCATTAGCCTGATTAGAAGGAAGAACTTAAATTTTTGATTGTATATTCTAGGGTTGGACCTCACATTAAACTGGAGAATAAACCCCCTGCCCAAGACAATGTAGTCTTCGGCCCTCAGCCTAGGCCTGTGCCTCAACCTTTGCTTCAGCCTGAATCCTCTGCCGATGATGATGTAGTCTTCGGCCCTCAGCCACAGCCTCAGCCCAAATCTCCTGGCCGTGATGATGAAGTCTTTAGCTCCCAGCCTCATCCTCTGCCTCAACCTCAGCCTCTGCCCCAGCCTGAGCCCCAGCCTGAGCCCCAGCCTGAGCCCCAGCCAGAGCCCCAGCCTCAACCCCAACCCCAGCCACAGCCTCTGGCTGGGCGCCAGCCTCTGCCCCGGCCCCTGCCTTGGCCCCTGCCTCCACCTCAGCCTACACCTGAGCCCCAGCCTGAGCCCCAGCCTGAGCCTCAGCCTGAGCCTCAGCCTGAACCTCTGGCTGGGCGCCAGCCTCTGCCCTATCCCCTGCCTTGGCCCCTACCCGTACCCCTGCCTGAGCCTGTACCAGAGCCAGAGCCGGAGCCTCAGCCAGAACCCCAGCCGGAGCCTCAGCCAGAACCCCAGCCGGAGCCTCAGCCAGAACCCCAGCCGGAGCCTCAGCCAGAACCCCAGCCAGAACCCCAGCCAGAACCCCAGCCGGAGCCTCAGCCAGAACCCCAGCCGGAGCCCCAGCCAGAACCCCAGCCAGAACCCCAGCCTGATCCAGAGCCCCAGCCTGATCCTGAGTCCCAGACCCCAGGCCAGCTCCAAGCTGGACGTCAGCCCAGGCCCAGGCCCCAGCCTGAACCACAGCCGGAGCCCCAGCCGGAGCCCCAGCCCCAGCCGGAGCCCCAGCCAGAGCCTCAGCCGGAGCCTGAGCCCCAGCCAGAGCCTGAGCCCCAGCCAGAGCCTGAGCCGGAGCCCGAGCCCCAGCCAGAGCCTCAGCCAGAGCCTCAGCCGGAGCCCGAGCCCCAGCCAGAGCCTCAGCCAGAGCCCCAGCCGGAGCCGGAGCCCGAGCCTCAGCCAGAGCCTGAGCCTGAGCAGGAGTCTGAATCTGAGCCTGATCCTGACCCCGAGCCTGAGCCGGAACCCCAGCCTGAGCCTGAGCCTGAGCCGGAACCCCAGCCCGAGCCTGAGCCTGAGCCTGAGCAGGAGTCTGAGTCTGAGTATGAGCCTGATCCTGACCACGAGCCTGAGCCGGAACCCCAGCCTGAGCCTGATCCTGATCCTGAGCCCGAGCCTGAGCAGAAGTCTGAGTCTGAGCCTGATCCTGACCACGAGCCTGAGCCGGAACCCCAGCCTGAGCCTGAGCCAGAACCCCAGCCGGAACCTGAGCCTGAGCCTGAGCCTGAGCTGGAGACCCAGCCTGATCCAGAACCCCAGCCAGAGCCGGAACCCCAGGCCCAGCAGGAACCTCAGCCTAGTGGAAAGAAGCTTCTAGCGAAAAAACCAGAACTCACTGTTGATTGCATGACTGAGCTCTCTGGAGAGAACCTGACAAGAGCTTCTCAGATCCTTAGCACCATCCTGCGTGACTACGATCATAAACTGCGCCCTGGCATTGGAGGTGAGTTAACAGAAGAAAGCCCTCTCCTCTCTTGAAGGAAAAAAAAAAACATGCTTCATATACAGTTGTGGCCAATGAACATGGGTTATAGACGAAGGTGCCACACACAGAACTGAAGCTGATCCAGCAGGTTAAGACACAATGGCTCCTCTAGGTCAACACTTTCCCCTTCTTTTGGCCTCAGTTTTTCCAATTCTAGAATAAGATGAGTGATCTGAAGGTGTATGCCAAACCCTCATAGTCCATGAGCTAGGGCTTTCCTTGGAAGAACAAATGAAGTAGGATAGATTCTCTTCCCTTCCTTTTGATGACTCCCTTCTTGGTGCCATGCCTCTATGTGACATTCACCCTGTATTACTTCTTGCCTTACAGAGAAGCCCACTGAGGTCACTGTTGAAGTCTTGGTCAACAGCCTCGGGCCTATTTCCACCCTGGACATGGTGAGTACTGAGCTTTGATGACAGTTTTTCCTTGCTTGGGCACTAAGATAAGGGGTCTGCTTTCTGCTCTTTGTGATATTACTAGAAGAGGTGGGCTTTTCTTGTTTTGGGGCTCAGATGGGGATTTGTAACCATAATTAAGCTAAGAACATGATGGAAAAGGTAAGTTCTTTGCTACCTGAAGAGGATCTTTGGAATTGTGACTCTAATCTTCAGTTTTTCATTTAAAATAAAAACAATAAAACAACTGTAAATACCACAATGGGATGCCTCTCTTTTGTCTGATTATTTATATTAACTAAAAACTAGTTACCATTTCTTGCTGTACAACTGTCCTTAAAATTTTGTCTTAATTCTTTTGCCTCCTTTCATTTCCACTGTTATCAATAGGATCCTCAGTTAACCTTCATCATCTTCTAGGTGAAATATGCAAATGTTTCCCTGTCCAGCTCTACTGAGAAAGCTTCCTCGGTGATGTGCCTCTAAAACTTATAGTTGAACCCCAAAGTCTAGCAAGCATGCCCTCTCCTATGACTTTGTTCTTTTTCACCCCATTAATGTCCATAAACTATGACCACATTATAATATGCAAATTCCTTGTACCTCAGAGGTGGGTCTTCGTTCAAGTTCGCTCATTCGGGGTCCAGCTCACATAACATCATGTTCGTGATAACTACTCTGACTCACATAGCAATTAACTGATCCCTACATACAGCAAGCCTCTCTCTGGACATTCGCATTTTCTGACTTACAAGTAGCTTATCTTCCTTAGTTTATTTCATGGTAATTAACTGTTTTACGTTGGTCTTGCTCTCTCTTGTTATGAAATACTTGATGCTAAGAACATAGTATATGGTAGCTGGCAAATGAATTACAAAGGATTTTGCAAATTCAAATGTGAAGTATCTAAACAAGAAAGGTTGTGGTAACCAGCTTCATAATAGCCATGGATTTGGTTTGTCCAAAGATAGAGCCAGTTTTAACATATACTTACACTGTATGATCTGCATGAGTTCAGAGGCTTGACGTTGAGATGGTTGGTCCTGATAGACTCAGAGGTAAGTAACCTTAATGGAAATCAAGCTGTTTACATAGAGTGAAAGAGTGGCTTACAATGGTTTCTTCCTCTTTATTATGATCTCCCTCTTTATTGTGCCATTCTAAATTCTAGCAATTTGGCTTATTTCTTTACTAGTAAGCTTCCCACCTTCACCTAGTTAGTGTTAGCTAAATTTCATAGGCTAATGAATATGCGAGACCACACACATTGTTAAATACAACTAATGTTCCTAATGAGTGTGCTATAAAAACAAAAAGCAGTAGAAAAATTCTCAGACAATTTGTGTAGGTTATAATTTGGGGGAACTAGTTTCTGTCCTCTGCAAGAGTCCTTGTGGCAGCAGACCACTAGCCCTACTCATGTTCATCATCTGTTAATCCCTCTAGCTCTGGTCTCACCTGAGCTTCTATTTATGCTGTCTAATCACTTAGAAGTCACTCAACTTGATATCATGCACAAGCTGTTTCAGCATGAGACCAACAGCCTGATTTATTTAACTGATAAAATGTTTATTAACCTTCCAAAGCCTTATATGACACATAATCTCCCTCAAAGTTTCAGCTTCTACATAGTTACATGTAATTCAATAAAATAAATAGGGTCCCTGTTCTTGTTCAGCCTGCTTCCTTCTAATTCACTTGCTGAGGAGTACATAGCTGTCAATCTCACTGCCACAGATCATGCCAATGCTTGAGCATGGGTTATCTCTATTGTTCTTTGTGGCAGCCAACTATCCTTTTTCTCTATTGTTCTTTGTGGCAGCCAACTATCCTTTTTCTGACCTCAACATTTGAAACAGTTGATTGTCTCAAAATTTGTTGAGTAGCTGGTTAAGTGTATATTTGTCAGTTGCTTGGGCAGGTAGAATATTAGAGAGAAACATAAAACCATTGCGTTGTAATCACATATTTCGACTCCCCTCCTTGTTTAACTCTGAAAGCACCCAGTCTGACCTTAACAGCAGTAGCTATTCTGGGGAAACCTGCCTGGTCACAGCACTCCGGGTTGCTAATGCCTGCTCTTGCTATGGTAATTATTGCAGGTGATTCTAATTAAGCCAGTTCTGAAACACAGCATTTCTATTTCAGCTGAACTAAAAGACATCAATTTCTAGTTACCTATGAAACTGGGAGAAAAATTAATTGCAAGCCATTAGTTATAAGTTGATGTATGAAGAATTTATAATTGGTATCTTCTTAAACATCAGTGAGTGAAATGCTTCTTTTTCGTATTGTATAGCAGACTTCCAGCATGGTTGAAGGAGATGCATGTTTCCCACTAGCCACCATACAGTTCATGTGTTAGGATGCAGATGAGACTTTGCCAGGTACTGGGAAGGTACAAATTCTTTGAAGGCTGTTTTTGAGGGTAGATGGAGTAGGACAGGTCAGAACATGACAGGCCAGGGCTGGACAGGATCAGGAGTTCTGCCATTATCTGCCTGATTTTCTAGTTTATTGTGGTAAGTACTTTACACTTTACTTTCTTTTCTGACTACCAGCAGTCTGGTGGCTGCATCTAACACTCACTGCCCCAGTGCAGTGAAGGCCAGCAAGGGTTTTGTCCCCTCTTTTCTGACGGGGCTGATACTCTTTAGCCTCTGGTCACAGTGTCTCCCTCATGACAGACAAATACTCTACCACGGAGGTACATCATTGACCTCTTTTTGTATTTTTTTCCACTTTTGAGACAAGGTCTTACCCATTTGCCCAGGCTGGCCTTGATTTAGTCTAGTCCAGACATGAGTTTAATTTTTCATCCTCCTGCATCAACCTCCCAAGTATCTAACATTACAGGCCTGTGTCATCAGGCCCATCTGATCCTTGTTCTTTGGTACAGGATTATCCAGGAAAGGCCTGGGGAATATGGCCCTTGGGGGATTTTTTTTTTCTTTTTGGTGCAAGTTAAAGCAATGGCAGGGTAAAGTTATAATAATGGTGCTCTGAGTGACAGAGCTAGTGTGCCATCACTTGCTGTGTGACTTTGGACATCTTATCTCTGTGAGTCTCAGTTTACCTACATCTAAAATAAATTAGACAAACAGCCTTTCATTGTGCTGTGCCATTACTCTGGTGTTTGCTTCAAACTGATTATATTGCCATCTGCACATTGCCCTACAAGCCACGTGAACTTCCTGCTTCTTGTGCTTCATATTAAACAGATTCCTTGGTGTTTAACAGACAACTTATGGGATCCATAAAATCTAAAGACCACATAATCATGGAACTATCTATTCATGTGCATGCACTCTTCAGAGATTATATGGACATTTATTAGAAAGGAAAAATAAAACAAAGCACAAACATAATTCTCCTTGTTAAAAAAGACAATAGATAGACATCAAATCATTTCATTTTTAAATATAATTCTGTGGAATGAATGGCTGGGTCTGATTAATAGCTATGAACTGTGAATAAAAGATGAACCTTTCCTGTGTACTTGTGTGTGCTTATACACTTCTGAGCACATTTGAGCTGGGATTTTTTTATTCACCGTGTAGGGACTGAAAGAGTGTTGACCTAATAAGAGTAGCAATATGGTCCTGCATAACTGCAATGGCATACTGATTTCAGCTGTATAATGATCCACTATAGCTCAGGGATTTATTGATGGATGAAATGTGTTATCTATTTTGGAATATTACTCTCTTTTTAAAACATATAACAGTGGAAAATTCCTGCACCTAAACATACGTTGCTTTATTCTTTGTAGTCCTAGGTGGATGTAAGCCTAAGGGTCTGTGAATGGCACAAGGCCTTTCCCTACTGGTAAAGAGAGGAGAGGTGATAATGCCAGCTACAGAAAGAAGCAGAACTGTTTGAGGCAACTTCCCACAAAGATGAGGCAGAATACTTACACATTCGAGATTATCCCAGGCTTTGTAATAAGATCCCATATCAAACAACAAAACCAAAACGATGAAACATCACTTCCAGAGACTGATTCTCCAGAGTAGGATTTAAACTTGTTTTATATTCTCCTACAAGGCACAAAGGACTTTTGTATGGGGATGTAGAAAGTAGGTAGCTCATTTGCTGTTTTGAGCTGTGAAAGAATGGTATTAATCACTATATAGTGGGGACTTAGCTCCCTTAGTCGTGGCATTTGAGCAGGATATGCCTGACTTCTTGACTGTATTAATGTCTGAGTCCCTTTCAGTCTTGACACTGAAGGAACTGGGTAAAAACAAAAAAGAATTCCATTCCTCTTCAACTTCTTGGGCCAGTGTTTCATATATTCTACTATGCTGTATTCAGGGTTCCATGTTAAGTAGTGACAAACACCACATTTGTGTGCAACTATTCCTTATCTACTTAGCCCCAAGTATATGGTTTTCTGTCCCTTCCCACCAGGAATATTCCATTGACATCATCTTCTACCAGACCTGGTATGATGAGCGTCTTCGTTACAATGGCACCTTTGAGACGCTTGTTCTACATGGCAACATGGTGAGCCAGTTGTGGATCCCGGATACGTTTTTTAGGAATTCTAAGAGGACTCATGAATATGATATCACCATACCCAACCAGATGGCTCTCATCCACAAGGATGGAAAGGTGTTGCATTCAGTTAGGTATGTCAAACCTTTAGTGTTTCATCTCTTAGGACTGTCTCACTCTTTAGGAAAATTTTAGCTAATGACTCCTAAGTAGATATATCATCCTGAATAATATTCCTAAAAGCCTGTGCAGACTTTTTAGACCAGGAATTCAACCTCTTCCTATGCAGGTATAGACACTGAGACCTTAAATTAAAAGATACTACTTAAAGACACATTCTAAGTTTGTTGCAAACTTGGGAGCTGTTGTTTACCCCACGTCTAGAAGGTATTGACATGACTTCATTGCCTGGACAATTCCATCCCAAGTGAGAACTGTATATAAAGACACAGCCATGGTGGTGGAACTGTCCAGGCAGAGTAGAATACATTGGTTGGAAAGGTATCCAAGACCTTTCTACATAACTTAAATGCCTGGAAGGAGATTCTTGTGTCAGCAGTGTGGCATATGGAGATGGTAAAGATTAGAAGAATGTAGGACTGAGTTGAACGAAAAAGAAAAGTCAATCTAGGTGGTTCCATGTACTTCTCTGATGATGCAACTCAGTACTCAGATATCAGAAGCTCTTCTTCCTCTCTTTATATCACCCCTTTGAGCTTTTTGTCTTAAATTCTACAGATGCCATTCATTGAAGGTAATCCCCTGGTCTATAATGAGTGAATACCTGAGTGCTCAGAGCCAGCCTAATGAGGCTCCTTTCTCCCTTTCAGGATGACCATTGATGCGAGATGCTCACTCCACATGCTCAAATTTCCAATGGATTCTCACTCTTGCCCTCTGTCTTTCTCTAGCTGTGAGTACCTTCTTAGGTTTCTGGGGATCCAGAGATATGCTGGGCCCTCTTTTTCTCATCTTTACCTTTTACATTTTCTGCTTCTGCTTTTTTTCCCTGTGATTGTGCCAAAGTTGCTACAAGCCTCCATCTTCCATCCTCACCGCCTTTCTTGCCAACAATGCTGTGTTTGCATTACCTTGGCTATATGTTGGATTCTTCCTTCACCCTTGCTCTACCTTAAGCTAGTCACCTGCTTCTGAAGTGTACCTAAAGTATGTCTGCTCCTCCCCATCTCTGCCTTGATGCTGGGCTTTATCATCTTCTGCTTGAACTTCTGCAACATCTTCCCTTTGAAACAGAACATGCCCTAAGCTAAATTCATTGTCTCTTCCAAACTCCTGCCTCCAAAGAAAATGTGTTGCTTCTATGTTGCCATTGACCTCATTGAAGGGTGCCATCACCCAACCAGTTGTCCAAGCCAAGAACTCTGATGTTTGCCTCCCATTAACCTCCTACATCTACTCAGTCCACACATGCTATTGGTGTTCCCTCCAAATCTGTATTGATCCCACCTGAGCTTTCACTCCTGCCTTCATTTTATTGTGTTTAGATTATTGCTCTGGAATCCCATAACTGGCACCTTGCCAATATGCTACCAGCTGAAGCACCATATAAACCAGGTCACTTCCTCGTTTAAAATCTTTTCTTAGCTGTCATAGATCTATTGCAAATTCCTTAAAGTGAACCTCAGAGCCTTTCATGACCTGACACCTGCTACTTCCTGTTGCACAACCCATCTGTGAAGTAGTCACCCTAATATTTTGCTGTTTCCATGTTCACCTTTCTGTGCTTCCCTTTCACAATCTTTAGCTTTATCTATATGGAGAACGTTTACTTTCAAAATTTACAGTAAATGCTCCATGCTCTATGAACTCTTTTCTGAGTGTGTTCCCAAGTGATCTTTCCCTACTTTGCCCATTGTTACATGGGCAGAGCGTTTTCAGAGCAACTCCAAAAATCACAGCTCTGTGGCCTTACTCAATGAAATGTGAATGCTGGAGGGTAAATTCATGACTTACTCATCTTTGCATTCAAATCCCAGGGCATATGTGATTATTGAATGGACTTCAACAACCAGGCCAGAGGCAAAGTCTCAAATCTGGTGAATTCAGGGTCAAAACTCTAAAACATGGCTCAAGCTAACACCATGCTTATGGGGCACTCAACTGGGCTTCCCAGTCTCATTCACTCCTCTTTTCTATATTGATTTCCAGTTTCCTATGGCGAGAATGAAATAATCTACAAATGGGAGAATTTCAAGCTTGAAATCAATGAGAAGAACACTTGGAAGCTGTTCGAGTTTGATTTTACAGGAGTGAACAACAAAACGGAAATCATCTCAACCCCACTTGGTAAGTGTGCAGTGGGAGATTGGGTTGGGTATAGTCTGAGAGAGTAGTACTGATAACTGGATGTGTCTATAAATGCTGCAAGGAACACATGGAAACACCATGTAGGACATTACTTCTGTCCTATACATGCTAAGCACTTACAACTGTTTGCAGAGGAAACTGAGACTTTATACCTATGTCTCAGTTTCATCTGCAAAGAAGTAAGTGCTTTGCCAAGCCCCTTGAAAGATGAGGTAAGTAGATACATTTTTGTAGCTTTTTGGAATGTTCTACCTTTGCTTTTTAGACCATTTGGGCTCAATGTCTTTCTTATGTCACTGACTTACTTAAACAACATTAGAGAAGGGATACTTGAGCAATTTCTCCTCATCCAGAACCAATCCACGCTGGCTGAATAGGAAGCTAAGTCCACCCTAGCAGGAGGGGGGGAAGGGAAAGCTAGTATAATAATGGCACCTAGTGAGGATTGGGGAAGTCTGCAAGTAGTTACTTAGCTGCAGTGGCTGCTGCAGAAACATTATCTTAAAGATGCAACTGTGAAAAGCAAGATTGCCACCAAAGGCTTCATAGTGAAATAAACATATGCATGCTGCTAGTTTTACTTTTTAATCTTGTTCCTACAAAGGTGAAAGGGGGCAGATTCTGGGTCTCTTAACTTGTAACTCCCAAATAGATGTGAGCATCTTTGCTTGTATTCCTAGGTAATCTGAATGAGGAGCCAAGAAATCTTCCCAGGGTAGCTCTGAGAGCAACCCTGGACCCTCTTCACATGTACTGACAAGAATATGGATGGAGCAGGTTACCCAGCCAGCCTTTTGTCATGGGAGGCATTTTGCTTTGCTTCTGTGTTATGACACAAAATCTGCTTTTGTTACTACTGGTCACTGGTTGAGGGAAGCTTATGCTCACCTGGCTAAAGCTTTGCTTACACTATACTAGGCAGGGGATGGATGCTGCTTTACAAATGCATTTTCTTTTTCCTCGGGGCCTCTGTAAAAGCCACTTTGCTTCCTTTGGCTTTGGGTTCCTTGCCCTTGTACTAGTTAACTACATTCCTGCCTCTTAGCTCTCTGCACCTCAGTTTCTCCAGATAGGTGGAGATCCATCATCAGAAATGACAGAAGAGACAAGGCACAGGGGCTTTCAAGTCACTAGTGGTTCCGTTTAGTAGATGATTTGCACATTGTTTCAAAATGGTGCCCTAGTGACTACAAAGCCCCAGAGCTGGCATCATCATTGAAGCAATGGCAGTAGGTAAGCAACAGCTCTCCCTGTGAAAGAAGGACCAGGTCTTTTTTCTCTTCTGCTAGAGACTACTTGTTCTTAACTCATGGTTTCTCCACTGCCAGAATACTCTTTGAAACAGGTCCAAACTCCCCCAGTTCTACCCTGGGGCAGTTCTTTCTACCTAGAGCACAACTTACTCATTTTTCAGGGTTTAGAATGCATCAGTGCCCTGAAACTTGGGCCAACTTGGACCTTAGAGCAGAGTCTCTGCTTCATGAGCTTCTCAGAGAAGAGACCAGGCCTGTACTAAGAGACCCATCCTTCATTGATGGTTGTTGCACTTCCAAGGAAATCTTTCCATGAATGAGAATTCACCATTTTGCACTTCTTCCTTCTCTAGACAGTTCTTCCCATCAGAAAATACTTCTTGTTCATCTGTAATGAGAGTCTCTGTGACATTTACCCATCAACCTAGTTCTTTCCCCTATAATTACCCAATTTACGCTAATTGAAGTCATTCTTCCATGAAGTCAAATTTAAAGAACTAGTGTTATTGTAAGAGCATTGGTTTGTATTCTATTGGGATTATGCTTCCGAAAAGTTCCCTTTCTTCTCTTTCTCTTCAATGTCTTCAGTTCATGAGTCATCTGGACAGTCTTTTAATTGTGTCTTTTTGACAGTGCTACTACCATCCATGATCTGGACAAAGCAGGTAAGAGCAAAAATTATCTTAAATACATTTTGTTTTATCTCAGCTTACCATCCTAATTATCTTTCTTCCATTGGTATTGCTTCTTCAATAAAGGAAATGCATGTTAGGATCCCTCTCTTGGCAAGTTTCTAGCTTTTGATAAATGAGGAAGTTTATTCTTTAGTCAGAATAAATAAAATTTAAAGAACAAGAAATTCAACATCATAATAAATCTTGTGACAACCATATAAACTCATATGTGATGTGGATATACCCAATTAAGGGAATTTTAACTTACAGTCAAAACTCCAGGCAGAAGTAATAATTTGATCATTCTGGCTAGTTGCGTAGGGTGGTCCCAGGTATAGTGATGGAGAAATTCTAGCATTCTATTTAGGAAACACGTTTCCTACTAACTCTAGATCATTTTTTGCCACTTTTCTGAAGAATCTAAGAAACTTTGTTCATCCAAATTCAGTGCTTCTAACACCTGGAGAAAAGTCTGTCTTTTTGGCACTGGCCCATCCAGACTTGCCAAGCAGCTGGTCTATTTCTTGTAGCGTAGCGTGTACAGTGTAGACAAATAGTATTTGAGTCTGCTTTCCAAGGCTATGCTCCAGGGCTATAAAGCATCACTGAATATCATTGCCTTCCATGTTGTTTCAGGCTTGGTCGGTTAGGGGCTAAGCTGAAGGCTTTACATGAGCCCTTCCTGGAAGGGACTTAAAGGTTCACTTAATTGAAAGTTACACAAGTCTATGGTATCACAGAGGTGGAAATTCGGGGCTTAGCTTCACAGAAAAGCCATAGTTGGAGCAATTTAATGTTTTGTGTCATGTGGAGAATAAAAATGATGCTCTGGGCAACCCAAGTATGAAGTCATAATACCATGAAGAGTGTTAGGAACAGCATGCTTAATAGAGCATGCCAGCTGGAAATAGAGGTTTGATCAGTTTCTGAAAGATCCATTCAATCTAGAGAAAGAACAAGAGCAGATCATCATGCCTAAGGGAATGTGAAAGCCTAAGCTACCTTGGGACTAGATAGTCTGCAGACCTAACATTTAGCAAGTGACTGACGTTTTCGTTTTCAACTAATTCTGCTATTTTCCTACAACTTTGAATTTAAGTTAGGAATAGTATATTAAGAACAGGGAGTCCAGGATTTACTAACCAGGACAAAAATGTAGGTTATATAAACTTGGAAGCAGCTTCAATTAGTTTTGGGTAAGGCATGCATTTTGTGTGTATGTATGCATATGTTAGTTAGATCAAGAAATTAGGCCTTAAAACCAGAATATAGAGTCTAGACTATATTGAGCAGCTCATATATATAAGAATATGTCATATTTGGCTAACCCAAGAGGGCATGCTCTGAGGGCTTGTAGTGCAGATGTAATGCTGTGATATCTCCAACTATGCATGGCATTTCTCTGGGTAGGCAAGTCTCAGCTAACTATCAGCTATGAGGTATTGATCTTAAGAAGGTCACTTTTCTCTCAATGCTGCTACTCTGGAAAAACAGACTTGGGGCAAGTGAATCAATTAACTGAGAGAGAACTTATTAATATTCTTGTGCTGAATTATCCCTCAACTGGCTAGGGGTCTTGGAGTAAGTATCCCCTTTGGCTTCTACTGGACTGCATTGAAATAGTGTGCCCTTATTCTAGAACTCTGGTCTGATGTCCCATGAGCTGGGCAGTGAAATCCATGATATATATGTGGTATTAAACATCAGGCCAGTACTGCAATGCAGTGGTGTGTTTTATGTCTTCCAGGTGACTTTATGGTCATGACCTTCTTCTTCAATGTGAGCAGGCGGTTTGGCTTCCTTGTCTTTCAAAACTATGTCCCTTCTTCTGTGACCACAATGCTCTCCTGGGTCTCCTTCTGGATCAAGATAGAGGCAGCTGCAGCCAGGGCCTCTGTAGGTAAGAAAGTACAGTGTTCATAAATATGGGTATATGTCAGGGAGTTATCTTGACGAAGAGAAATATTTGCCTCCTCCTGTTATCCTGTAAGCAGTATACTGCATGGGTCAGGAGCTTAGCCCACCTTCACTCCTTGCTCTTATAGGAGTCAGTTCTGTAATCACCATGGCCACGCTGGGCACCCTTTCCCGTAAGAATTTCCCTCGTGTCTCCCATCTCACAGCTTTGGACTTCTATATAGCCATTTGTTTCGTCTTGTGCTTCTGTGCTCTACTAGAGTTTGCTGTGCTCAACTTCCTGACCTACAACGAGACGAAACGACAGGCTTCTCCAAAGCTCTACCAGGTAAGTACTAGTTGTTGGTATGGGAGGCAAAGCTTTAGAATGAGGGTACTAGGGTTATAGCCCATGGTTGGCTAGCTTCCCAAGTGTTAGGAAGATTACTGGGGTCATGGGGGAAATAAACGCCCTGGTGTGATGGTGGAAATCCCAGAAGGTGCAGAACTGATGTGGGAAGTGTAGTTTCTAGGAAATTGTGGGTAACCTTTACTCTTGATTCACAATCCCTTGACTGTTTCCTTCTTTTTTCTCTATTTCAGCTTCCAACCAGTAGCCATGCTAATACGCGTACTCGTGCTCGTGCCCGTACCCGCGCTCGTGCCCGTGCCCGTGCCCGCCAGCAGCAGGAAGTGTTTGTGTGTGAGATCGTCACCTATAACGGGAATGCTGAAGAGGACTATGAGTATTGCCCAGCCCAGTGGTCTTCAAGCTCAAGAAGACCCCAGTGTCCCCGGAGGCGATGTGGCAGAAGCTATGTGTGTTTCAAGGTTCTCAGGAAATATTTCTGCATGGCTCCTGGTTGTGAGGGCAGCACCTGGCAGCGGGGCCGCCTCTGCATCCACGTTTACCGACTGGACAACTACTCGCGGGTGCTTTTTCCCATTACATTCTTCTTCTTCAATGTGCTCTACTGGCTCATTTGCCTTAACCTGTAAGCTCAGCTGGTAGCTCAGGGGGCAGCCTCCTCAGTTCCCCAAGAGTGCCAAGCCCCTTTGCCAAGGGAGTTGGGTTACAACAGCAAAAGCAGCAGGAGTGCCTAGAGAGAGCTTTTCAGTCCCTGGTTCCAAGAACAAGCCTGTGCAGAGTGTGTCTCTGATGACTTCCTTCCCATTAGCCTAATCTTCTCAACACCCCTTCTTAACAGCCCACCTCTCTATTCTTGAAAGAGCATTCGTGATGCTCATTTGAGCAGATAAGATTTCTCTCCTTGGTGTTTATACTTACTCTCCCCCCCCCCCAGAAGCCCATGTTTCCCTTTGTGGTGCTAAGGGGCCCAGCTCAGGCTCAGCCCCAGAATGCACAGTGACAGGATGGTCTTAAAGCGAAACCATTAGATTCTTGGTTTTTTTCTCCTGACTTCCCTTTCGCTGAACACACACACGCACGCACGCACGCACACGCACACAAGCATGCACACACACATCTCTGTAGGAGGTGAGGAGCCAGCAAGTGGCTCAGTTCGGGAAGGTAACCCTTTGCTGCTGTGCCAAGCTCCCTCCCCCCCCCCACCCGCTTCCATCTGCACCACCAGTTCGGTTCCTTACATTCAATGGGTATCTATTCTTGTGTGCAATGTTTGTGATTTCCCCTGCTTTGTATGCCTCCCTCTTCCTCCTCCTGGACCCTTGTGATTTGTTTTGTAAATTCCCTAGTGACTTTCCCAGCCCTGATCCAGGTGCTAGGCTTTGGTGACTCCCTGGGGCCAAGAAAATGAGAACACTGTTTTGCAGCGGCCATTAGCTGCCACTGACTGGTGCTCGCCTCAGGCCCCTGGACACACAAGCCAGGCCACTGCCATCCCTGGGGCACTCACACAATCACAATCAATTGAACTCCCTTAAATTTATATTGAATTTTCCATTTGGCAAAACACTTTTGATAAATAATTTCTTTGGGCACAGTTTGTTCTCCATTATGCAGATGGAAACATTGAGGTACAGATATCTATGGAAAAGTAGGTCTTGCTGGACGCTAATCTGGAGCCCCCTTGTCACCTGCTAAAGCACATGTCAGTGCTAGGCAGCTCTGATCACCACGACTTCATTCTGTTTCCCCTGATGACACCCCAGTGGCAGGACATATAGTAGTGATGGCCTCCCCAAACATGGGCCTGTCCCTAACTAGGGCCTGAGGTGCTCAGACTGCTCCGCAGGTTGAACTCCTGTCTCTAGTAACCCACCAAGACAAATTTGTACATGCCCCAATGCTTGTATATGCTGAACAGAATCTGTGTCTGTACTTTATGGGGGTGGGTGGGATTGGGAAATCCATCTGCTTTTATTCACCATCATCTGTAAAGGGGAAATATATGAATAAAACTATCAGCAAAGCATTCAAGATGTTGCTGTTTCTTTCCCTTACAGCCAAGCTTATTTTCAATTAAATCTATTGTTTAATATGAGAGTAGCAAATAATAGATAATCCCACATATATATGTAATGCAATGTGATCACCATCACTCCCTGTACCCTCTCTTATCTCCTTTCGCCTCCTTCCAAGACCAGTTCTCCCTCCCACTTTCATGTGTATTTTCTGGTTGGTTGATTCATTTTTGGACCCCTTGAGTAACAAGGGCTGCTATTGTTTGGAGTGTGGAGGACACACCAGTAAGTACACAGCTAAAAAGCATGAATCCCTTATTCCTTATCAGCATCACTCAACAGCCAGTAGTTGCCTGTGGAGGGACAGGATCCCATGAGCCTGTCCCTTATCCATGAAGAATGTTGACAGGCCCAGCCTTGTGCAGGCCCTGTATATGTGTCCTCAGCTGTTGGGAGTTCATGAGTGGAAAGCTAATGCCACAGGCAAAAAAAGAGCATTATACAAAAAAAATCATTTTGCTCTTACAACCTGCTCAGGTTTTAAATCTTAAAAACCAATTGCCTAAACCATTGTAACCATCTCATATCCACCTACCAGACCTGTTCAAAGTACCCTTGCCTCATTCATGGTAATGAAAATGATGAAATCTCCAACCAGTATGTATGACTGCCTTCATAATTGTTTGGCCTGCCTTCACCCCCTCTATGCTCATTTTGTATTGCTTTTCACTCTTGCCCCTACCTCATTAGAGCTACAAAGTCCCAAGATGCCACCGGGTTCAGTCCATTTCATACATATACCCTGAGGTAGACTCCTGTGAGGATGGAGATGCCTTGGCACAAAGAAAGAAGATGTTCTCTTCTTGTCATACAATCTCCCAGTAGTGGGGTGAAGTCATATTCCAGAAATCTTAATACCTTTGTCCCAAATAGAAATTATTTGTCGAGCTGGAGATCTAAGTTGTTTATCTCTCAAAATAAATTTCTGAACATATATTGAGACATGTTAGCCCTAGTATCCTATGACACTTCTATATCAAGCAATAACAGGAGCCTAGAGTAGATAACGTGTCTGTGAATAGTTGACACTTTTGTAATAACATCCTTTCTGTGATGTTCAACCACGTTTCCTTACAAGAAACCTATATCCTAGGGTTGGAGATGTGGCTGAGTTGTAGATTGTGAAATCCCTAGACTTAGTGCCCAGTGCTACCCCCATTCCTACTGAATATTTTCTGATGTCCTAACCCACTGCAAATAGAATGCTACACTTTGAACAAGGGAGATGTTTCCCTATTTCCCTTCTTAAATTAAGAGACACAGAGAAAAATGATCATTTGGTTCCAAAGTAATATAGGCATGTAAATTGTGAGTATATGCATTTAAAGTGCATTGAAGCATAGAAATAGCACAAATAAGATTCTGTACTTGTTCCACAAAAAAGTTTATAATACCTAATATGTCTACTATTTGGAGTCTTAAAAATCATGTAAATCAGGTATTTAAAAATGAGGGAATTGAAATAGTAATTGACCATACACCTGAAAAATTAATGAGGAAAATATTACATTAATAAAACCCATGGGGTGCAGCCAATAGAAAATTTACATAAGGAAATCATAATTTAGGCACTTTACTTACTAAATACAGTGGAAGACTAAGGGATTCAGCATCAAAAATCTAGAGACTAAAAAGGATAAAAACACTACATTACAGAAATTTGTGGTAAGGAATAATTTTTAATATTGTCCCTTTCCTTTTATATCCAAATTAAAGGTGTTTGTTTCAAGGAGAAAGTGAAGGAGAGAGAAAGGGGAATAGGAAGTGAAGATGACTAAAATTTATTTTATCATGTTTTAAAAGATGAAATCCCTCTAGGAATAATATTGATGAGTATATTTACATACTCAAGATAGGAAAGACCTTTATAAACATGACATAAAATACCAGAAACTGCAAAGGAAATTTCTTAAAATATGCCATAAAAACAATAACAAAACCCAAAAAGTATATAGGATGAAACAAATATGCAGTCCCAGGTCAGTTTTCAGCAGAAATAGTGTCTGAACTCAATATAGATTTAAAAATGTATTTGTATTTTGTATGTGGGGGTGGGATTGGAGAGAATAGGTACTAAAACTAGATGGAGAGTTCAGGTCATGAAGCAAGAATGGGAAATAGACAACTTGATTCAGGAAGGACAAAAGAATGTGTGTGTGCGTTCTTGCGTGTGTGTGTGTGTGTGTGTGTGTGTGTGTGTGTGTGTAATATGAAACAGAAACTGAGAAAAGGAAGGGAGCTAGCTAGAATGAAGAAGAGCTAAAGGATGAATTCTTGCAAAGTATAAAGGTATGCGTGTTTGTTTTGTATGAAAATACTATAATGAAAACCATTAGTTCTTATGCTATATTTTAGGGCATTTATTTACTTACTGTGTATGTGCACAAACATGTTTGGGTATGCTATTGTTGGATTGTGGAAATGTGAGTCAGAGAATAACTTGCAGGAGTCAGCCCTCTCCTTCTACCATGTGGGTTATGGGAATTGAACTAAGCATATGAGGTTTGACATCTTTACCCAATGAACAGATACTCTCTAGTAAAGGAAAGCAAACTGAAGGAGGAAGTAAAAATGAATCCTAGATAGTTTTGAAGAATCTTAGTGTAGCCAAAGTGCTTCCAAGTGGCTGACTGAATTCCTTAAAGACTTATGACATCCAACTATTACTGGATAAACAGGCCTTAGTGAGAATGTAGCCAAGCTGTGGGAATCACTTCAAACTTCCAGTCCTGCAAATCAAATCACTGTCCAGTTACATTGAATTTCAGATACATTTCAGCATGAATATGTTCCTTTGGAAGCCTTATTTTCCTTTAAAAAGATGTTGCTATCCCAAGACTGAGCACAGCAGCACTTAAGCACCTCTGTCAGAGACAATGACACTTCAGTAAATGTTCTCTCCTATTTCCCTCCTCCTTTATTGTTCAGAGATATCCCACCAAGTACAGCTTTTACTGTTCTCATCCCTTTCTTGGCATGTGTTTCCCAGATTACCTAAACTGAATTCATTGATACCAGGAATGATTCCAAAAAGCACGCTGTAAGAAGAGATTCTGCAACTAGTTGTTATATCATGGTAAGAAACTACCCTTCCTTGAATGGTGCATGGGTCACAGACAGTACCTTGCACTCTGTGACTTAGCACAAATCTTGAAGATTTCATGGTGGCTACCCTGTGAAAAGAATCCAATGGGGGAGAATTTTATTTTCTGAGCCATACATTTGAAGGCTACAATAGAAAAGGCATAGTAAAGTATACAGAGAGTGGGGTTGCCCATTTCTTACTAGTTAGTACAATTAGCCCACAAAAGGTTCAGAAAAATCCAGTCATTCACAACAGTTAACAGATAAGCAAGAGTCAGGGGGCCTCTTCAGAAACTTAAGAGGATTTTCTTTTCTACAGCCTCAGAAGTGCAGTAAACCCAGAACATAAGAGTTAGACTTGAAAATCTACAGAGATGAACTAAAGTTTCGGCCAAATCATGTTAATTAGATTAAAGTGAGGACCCTGTTAGGGGAATCTCATTATTCTAAAACATTGACTATGTCACACAGAGAATTAAAGCTTTCTAAGACTTCCCTGGGAACTCAAAGCCTTAAGACATCTGTCCTTCTCTATTAAGAGCTGATATTCAGATATGACTGAAAGATCAATTAAAGACCTTTATCCTGCCAAGGCAATAATTGGAGTGAAATACAATAAATAAATAAATAACAAGTTCTATGTATGATAAAAGGGAAAAGAGACAATCCTCCAGATAAGGTATGAAGCTTACCAACTGTGTAGAAGAAGTCAATAACAGACATTTGAGGATGCCTTATCAAGAAGGCTAGAACACAAAAGTAAATAGCTAGAAATCCATTTACATAAGGATGGTTGCTGAAGACATATTATTTGAGCCTAGTAAGAAATCCAAGAGATGTGGCACAATCGTTGTTGTAGTGGCACTGGGAAGCTTAGGAAAACTGAGTTAAGTTAGAAAGCCTGAGTTTCCTTGGCAGACAATAATGGAAAGGATGCAACGGCTTGGAAAAAGGATGCTCCAAAGGACAGATTATGTTCTTTATTAAATGAGCTCAGAAGACTCCTACTCTTCTCAGAGAGGACTATGTTCCATGAGATGACTTACAATATGAATAGTTTACCAAAGTAGTAGGAATGTATTTTTAAGGAAGCATCAACATCACCACAAAGCTCAATTATTGTTCTCTTCTGCACAAACATTAAATTGGATGGTCGATTTACAAACTCCATAGCAAAAGACCACAGTCTTGGTCACTTACAGACAAGTAGATTTATTTATTATTTATTTATTTAGTTAGTTAGTTATTGAAATAGAGAAGATTTTAAAAGTAAAGATGCTGGCAGATATTATATCTAGTGGGGACCTGCTCCGTGGTTCATAGATGGCAGCCCTCTCATTGTAGCTATAAGACAGGAAGGCCTCTCTTGGTTCTTATGTGGGTACTAATGCAATTCACGAGGGCGTTGCCATAATGATTTGATCATTTCTCAAAGGCATCATTTCCTACTATTATGGAACTGTGAGTTAGGATTTAAGCCCAGGGATCTGTAAACAGAAACATTCATTCTATATCATATAGCTAGTAACAATACAGATGATGGTGCCTCTGAACAACTAAAATCAGGCTTCATTGTTTAATTGTCAAAAACGAAGGTCTCAGATCATTTTAAGTCATTAAGTCGGAGGAGTAGCTTAGGAAGCTTGGTCAACAGGTAGAAAAATGTGGTGATGGTGGTGGTGATTTAAAGAACAGGCAAAATGATGACCAGCCAACAATGGTGCTGATTAAAATATAAAATTATATATAGTGCAGGAACAGAAAACTGGGGGTGATTTCCTAAATAAAAAGTCATAATGCTTTGCT